GGAATTCCCACAACTAGTTGTGGGAAGCAAAATTGAGTTGTGGGAAAAATTGAGTTGTGGGAAAAATTGAGCTGTGGGAAAATCTCGCAACTAGGGGAGAAATCCGGGGATTCCCACTGCCTCATTACGGGCGAATATCCACAAAGACAATGCTCTACCTGGCGGTGGGTATATATTCCTTAAGTGCACCGGAAACAACATGCATCAGCATCATATACAGCCGCAGAATGGTGAACTAAGTATTCCTGCCAACCTGTTGACAAAGGAACAATGTCGGATTCTTTGAATCACCAGGCTTGGAGACTTCACGGCGGAGCCAGTTCAGAAGCTCAGAGGCTGATGACCGGCCAGTTCCCGGTTTGGCGGTTATAGTATCAGGGGCTGTTTCTATCACTCTTCTATGTGTGGAGGCAGATATGAAACCGTGTCTGAGTTTGAGTAACACTTTTCGTGCTTGAGTGCCTCCAACAAATGCATGCTGTTGGGCATAGATGTCTTATTGTGTTCTATCGTATGAAATTAGACCTGAGACACTCAATCTTGTTTCAGATTTCATCCAGAAGCCAGTCGGACGACCATCCAAAACCAATCCGCCCATGGCACCCATTGAAGTTGCTAAAAACCTCACATACACAGATCACTCGCCAATTGTCGGGTTGTCTAAGACAAGCAAAGCCAAGGAAGCATGTGGACAACTATTCACAATTGGAAACGTAAATAGTACAACCGAGGAAGGGGAGACAGATGGTCTTGATTCTATCAATCAAATGTCAAAAGAGGAGACCAAAATTCCGCTGAAATCTGTTGCACCCATGGAACAGCTAACAACCCAAAGCGAGATACGGCTTCACCTCAATTCAAAATGTCCTTGGGTGAACTCAAACCGAAGCCGTGTTCTCATTGGGGCTTCCTGGATGGTAGAGGAGGACAAACGCCAGTTTTTGAGGTACCCAGAAGTACTTTTCATGGATGCCACGCACAAAACTAACAATGAAGGCCGCCCTCTTCTACTCATTTGTGGTCGGGACTCTGATGGCAAAGCCTTCGTTATACTGCGTGTGTTCATGCCAAATGAAACTTCCGCATTTTATAACTGGGTCTTTCAGGAGGCCCTCCCATCAATGTTAGGCAAGGAGCATTTGGAGCGGGTCAATTTGGTTCTAACTGATGGTGATTCTAATGAATTCTCAGCTCTTGAAAATTCAATGCTTAAGTTGCTACCAAATGCACTTCGGGGTAGATGTGGGCACCACCTCATTAAGAAAACGTTGCAAAAGAAATCTATTGCGCCTTCTTATTTCAAAAATAGGGTATTGGGAGAGGCTATACTGCAAGAAATTGAGGGTTGGGTCCGTTCTTGGGTAGACGGATCTTCCTGTCTCACTGAAGAAGAGTTTATGTTCTCCAAAAACTTGTTGCTGGATGAATTGCGGAACAATGAACAGCTACAAGAGGTCATGGGGCTGGAGAGCGTCGGCAAACTCATGGACTGGCTCGACACAGATGTACTGCCCCATGAAAAGACTTTTGCCCACTACATGAAACGAGACCATCGGTGCCTTGGGGAATATGTTACTAATGCAACCAAGGGATTAAACTATGCTGCCAAACACAGTTCAATGTCCGCAAAGCCAGATCAGAAAATGGTCACTTCATAGCCATGATGACATGAAGCATCGAGAGAGGAAGAAAACGAAGTTGCCCCAATTTGAGGAGACACCCTTATTCCTTGAAAGGGGTAACAAAAGGCACAACTCAGATTGTTTCAAAGAGCTTGTACCTATTGGCCGATCTATTATGGTGGATCAAGTGGAACAGAGTGCCGGCAACTATGTGGTTGCCCAGATCTCACGGGATTCATTCTGTGTGATTTGGGATCAGAGTCATGTCTCCCGTCCGCATGGGTGCCCAACATGGTTCAAAGGTCGTCCCAGGTTCAGGTCGGTCCACATTGTGGAAGTGGACAAGGAAGATAGCAACCGTGTTGTGCTTAAGTGCTCATGCCGCCATAAACAGCACTATGGATTGCCCTGTTGCCATTTACTCTCCATTGAACACCAATACAATCTTTCCGATATTGCCTGTTGTTGGCGCAATGACTATGACTTGTATGCGTATTCAAACGGAAAAGAGAAGACTATGACCAAATTGTTTGCTGAATTGAGCAAGGTTGAACACCAGGGAATCCTGGTAAAGAGTGATTGGTTGAAAGAAAGGCTAAATGGGGGTGGCTGGACAGAGCTTCCAACCCTGTCTAATTACATTGAATAGAAGACAAGAAGAAGAAAGGAAAACCACTCTGCAACAGGTGCTCGCACTATACCGGAGTAATAGACTGCACTGTTGGAACTACAGTGCTGAAGAGTGCAATGATCGTTTACCCTTGACTCAGCTTGTCAGGAAGGGTGTTCCACTCTATTTTTCCCAGGAAACTTGCTCGGACTAATGTTTTGAGTCATGTTTGGACTCAGACAATGACGAAATAGACAATACAGGGTTTGATGCTGCACAAGAGTCCGCCAAACAAGCCTACAATATGAATACCATGTTCTTGGATCAACCCAAACATGGTAAAACCAAGGATAGATTGCTCGCGATGATTCTGCAGAAGCAAAAAGAGCTAATGGGTTTGTGTCATGAGAAGACAAATCTATTGCAGTGTTATTACAATGTACTCCTTGAAGGCGAAAAGGAAATCAATACAATAATGGTAGAGGGTCTCAGTCAAAGCCAGCAGGAGAGACTCCAAGGATCTGATGAGCATGAACTACAATCCTTCAATTACCCTATCAGCAGGGCAAAAAAGAGTTTGCAGAACTCCTATCCCAGATATCATTGCTAGTGGCAGGAATAGACCACCAACCTTTAGTTTACCCATTGATCTTTAGTTTACCTTTTTTTAGCTCGTTGGTAAAAGTGAAAAGACAGGAACGCCAAGCAAAGCCACAAGTTCCTGCTATAAAGTCTAATGCATCCGGAGATAGTTTCATGGCATACTTCTGGGTGGAATCAAATATCAATCTATTGAAGAATGTCACTGCGTGAGTGTTGGTCCCATCCTTCCCTTTAGGAACAAACACAACTAGCTCCTGTTGTTGTAAGAATTTGATACAGTTGGCAACTCCAACCATCCCATCACAATTGTCCTTGGACTTCTGAACAGATGATGGATTCACACCTCTAACAGAGCGCCGCACCCAATGTGAGAACCATTTCAATTGAGTGATTGCATCAAAGCCACTCAAATCGTGTGATTGCTGATATAGGGCATAGCCCTCTGTTTGAAAATTCAAGTGGTGCAGAGCATTGGCAAAAGAAAAACCAAGGCAGCAATCATTTGCTCCTTGCACATATGGAAGAGTCTTCAACCTGTCCCCATTGTCTTTAAATTCTACAAGGCAAGGGTCAGGTGCGACATCAGTGTTGCTGTCTCCAAGTGGCACAAAGAATGCCGGTTGATTGAGTCCCCTTTCCGAACACCTTTCTCCATAAGCAATGCATCTGTCTACAAATAAATCCACTGCCAAGATAGTATTTGACATAGCCAACTGTTACGTTAGAGATGGAACTCTTGTTCTTTTTTGAGATCCCAGGAAAATTGTAAAGGTGGGTAAAGATTTCTCTGCGTTGCGTGACTCATACCGAATCTTCCAAATTTTGCCTGGTTTGGACTTGTGTACATTTGGCTCCTCAATGTTGTATTTCTTTAACAATTGGGATGCATCGTGGTCTACATCACCATAGTGTTCCTTCAGTTTCTTTTGGTATGAGGTTTGAGCCTTTTCAGTTCGAGCTTTGAACTGCTTCTTTGATTCTTCGTGTGCTTTGGGTTGTAACATTTTGTCAAGACCTGTCAGAAATTCATTAAAGTTTTCTCCCACCTCTTCAGACTCTTTCCCTGCCATGAAAGGTTACAACTCCTTCTTCATTCTCAGCTGCTGCGCCCAACTTTGCTCACCATTATCAATGTCTCTTCTCCTTCTCGTTGGAGAGGATGGCTTCCAATAATCTAAGGGTGCCCCGTCTTCACGCATTATTGTGGCGACAGGTGCAGCTTTCTCTACTGGACTGATTTTTTGTGTGCCCTTCATCTAGCAATCCATTCGCTGCTGGTCCGATTTTTTTTGGCCCTTGACCTAGCAATCCATTCAAGAAGCATACGTTGGACGGCGGGGCATTGAAGCATGCCCCAGCAAAACCTCCAAAAACTTGCCAATTTAGATAAGAATCATTTCCATCTATTGTGAAATATTTGGACTTGAGCTTGCTGACAAATTTTTCGGCATCAGGCTGAGCTGAATTCCTCATTTTATACCAGTCAACAAGACTGGCACCAGGAGACTGGTTGATTTGGGTCTTTTGTTTTGACTTGGAACGGGTGCTCATTTGTGGAGGGACCACAGTCTCCCTGGCCTTCCTTTTCTTCTTTGCTGTAGTACCAGCAGTAGCATCCCTACCTGTAGACGGTCCTGTCATCTTATTTACTTCAATGCACCAAATCTCCAACCTTATAAAAGCGAGGACTTGGCACGACACAATGGGCCTTTTATGGTGCACACTATTTGTCACTTTGCGCAATGAAAGTTGAGGAACAGTTGTGCAAAAAGCTCAGGATGCAGAAGCGGATGAAGGAACCTGTCTCTGAGGAGTGTGGAATGCCACTAGCCTACTACAGATGTGAAGAAACGGAAGCGTTCGATTTGTTGACTGGGTTGAGACCACAAAGAGGCAGGGGGTCAAAGCATCAGTTTGCTCGTGTAGTTGATGTTTTGGTGGAAAACATGTTTTTATGTCTTTGCTGTTGTGTTTTTGTGTTTCTGCGAGGAAGCGGGCATGTTCACCGTTGGTCATTACAGTCTATAGCACGTGCTTGCGATAAATTTGGAATTAATTTTTATAATGGAATTTGGAATTTTGTTCAAGGCCTAATTGCTCCTTCCACTTCTCCAGCGACCTGTTGGAGGTGGAGGTCAGACGGACCGGGCCGGTGTCTTTTGGTAAATATAATGTGCTTGTTTCTGTTTTTTTTTGAAAACGTGAAGTGTCCGTTGCCATTTTAGCGCAGGCGCACTGTGAAAATCGGGCATGCCCCGTGTGGCACGCCCCGCGTCAATTCGACACAAATCCGCGGGTCAATTTGACGCAAATCCGCGTTAGTTTGAAGCAAACCCGCCTCAATTTGACGCAAATCCGCGTCAATTTGACGCAATCCCGCGTTAGACTCAAGAAGTTGCGTCAATCCCGCGTCAAACAGATGCAGTTGCGTCAATCCCGCGTCAAACTCAAGCAAGGCCAGAAATGTTATAAGAGCACAGTACAGGTTCTGACACCAGCTACGTCATTATGCTATGGGGCAACAGTTCTGGATCCGTTTCTCAGAAGTACTCGGCTTCATAGTCAGGTATATCCCAGAATTTCACAGTTCCAAGCTCTAAACCAATTTCTATTGATACCAGGACAGCACCTACCGCAAACGTATGCTTATCATAGTTATGGATCCAAATACCTCGCAATGATTGGAACTTTTTCATCTTGCAAAAGACACATTCTTGTCTTGCACAAACAACACCCTTTTCACATACTCCGATGTTTTCATCACAATGATGAACTGGTACACATGTACGGGTACGCGGGTTTCGTCCCGCGTCGAAGACATGCAAGCCTGCGTTAAATTGACACGGAGTTGCGTCAGTTTGACTGCAGCCATACTGCTGAATAATTAGATTCCGCTTTGTCAGATTCCGTTACTTTCAGTTGGCGCGCACACATGTTAATAGTTTAACGGTCATAATTCGGGATGCCTAGGGTACAGGCTTAGTGCTACGGACGCCGGAAGGACTATATCCAGCAGGACCTCCCTGTGTTGCAGGGATATCCCGCAGTTTTCTGTGAAGCCAGCTTTCTCTTTTTTTTGGACAGTCGATGTGGTCATTTTCACCCTCTTCTGCACGAAACTTCAAAAATCGACTTTCACTTATTGCCTGCCAGAAAGAAACTTCTACGACAAGGAATTTTATAAATGTTCACAATGCCGTTAAGTATTCAACTTCATTCGCCAGATAAAATTTTAAAGTTTGTTTTATTTTTACAGCAATTGCGGAACATCTGTAATGACCCCAAAAAAACCTGTAAATTTTTCACAGAAGTTTCGGAACATCTGTGAAAAATTCACAGAGATTTCGGAACATCTGTGAAAAATTCACAGAATTTTTGACCCAGACGACCAAGCATTGCTTGCGCACACCATTAACCGTTTTTTCCTCTACCGAAATTGTATGGTGCTTTTACGAAAGGGCATGCGTGCACGCATGTCAGCTGAACCTCTGTTGAAACTTCACGGCAATTTCGGAACATCTGTGAAGACCCTTAAAAAACCTGTGAAAAATTCACAGAGATTTCGGAACATCTGTTGGTCATTCACAGAGATTTCGGAACATCTGTGAAAAATTCACAGAATTTTTGACTCACAGGACAAAAACAATGGTCAATTAGGGGAACTGTCTGTAATTTAACGAACTACGACCAAAACGCGACGATCACCGACCAAGAATGAATTCCACGAGCAGTGATGATGTCGGATCACAGATCCCCGTGCAGAAGGAGTGAGCAAGCCGGTCAGGCCCCGATTCCAGTTCAGATTCACACCAAAATGCGGAATATCCCAGACGATAGAAAATTTACAGACTTTTTGACTCAGACGACCGTGGAAAAAAGTCTACGACTAGTTTTACATAGTGAAGCCATAAATGTTATATTCCTGGCTGAACCCACCATTCGCCACAATTTCGACATTTCGGAACATCTGTGAAGACCCTTAAAAAACCTGTGAAAAATTCACAGAAGTTTCGGAACATCTGTGAAAAATTCACAGAATTTTTGACCCAGACGACCAAGCATTGCTTGCGAACAACATTAACCGTTTTTTCCTCTACGGAAGTTGTGTGGTGCTTTTACGAAAGGGCATGCGTGCACGCATGTCAGCTGAACCTCTGTTGAAACTTCACGGCAATTTCGGAACATCTGTGAAGACCCTTAAAAAACCTGTGAAAAATTCACAGAGATTTCGGAACATCTGTTGGTCATTCACAGAGATTTCGGAACATCTGTGAAAAATTCACAGAAAATTTAACGAACTACGACCAAAACGCGACGATCACCGACCAAGAATGAATTCCACGAGCAGTGATGATGTCGGATCACAGATCCCCGTGCAGAAGGAGTGAGCAAGCCGGTCAGGCCCCGATTCCAGTTCAGATTCACACCAAAATGCGGAATATCCCAGACGATAGAAAATTTACAGACTTTTTGACTCAGACGACCGTGGAAAAAAGTCTACGACTAGTTTTACATAGTGAAGCCATAAATGTTATATTCCTGGCTGAACCCACCATTCGCCACAATTTCGACATTTCGGAACATCTGTGAAGACCCTTAAAAAACCTGTGAAAAATTCACAGAAGTTTCGGAACATCTGTGAAAAATTCACAGAGATTTCGGAACATCTGTGAAAAATTCACAGAATTTTTGACCCAGACGACCAAGCATTGCTTGCGCACACCATTAACCGTTTTTTCCTCTACCGAAATTGTATGGTGCTTTTACGAAAGGGCATGCGTGCACGCATGTCAGCTGAACCTCTGTTGAAACTTCACGGCAATTTCGGAACATCTGTGAAGACCCTTAAAAAACCTGTGAAAAATTCACAGAGATTTCGGAACATCTGTTGGTCATTCACAGAGATTTCGGAACATCTGTGAAAAATTCACAGAATTTTTGACTCACAGGACAAAAACAATGGTCAATTAGGGGAACTGTCTGTAATTTAACGAACTACGACCAAAACGCGACGATCACCGACCAAGAATGAATTCCACGAGCATGATGTCGGATCACAGATCCCCGTGCAGAAGGAGTGAGCAAGCCGGTCAGGCCCCGATTCCAGTTCAGATTCACACCAAAATGCGGAATATCCCAGGGCAGGGACGCACCACAACGCAAAATGCGCGCCCAAAATGTGTCCGTTAACATTTTCTCAGAACGATGTTTTGTTCGCGTAAAATGCCACGTGAATCTTACGCGGGCTTCTAATTTACACGGGGAGGCGTGGCTTTAACGCAAGGATGTGTGAGTTTGACGCGTGAGTTTGACGCGGGGACGTGAGTTTGACGCCTGACTTTGACGCAGGGACGTGAATTTGATGCATGAGTTTGACGCGGGGACGTGAGTTTGAGGAGTGAATTTAACGCGGGTCGCGTGAGTTTGAAGCCAATTGTGTGAGTTTAACGCGGTGACAAAGCTTGACACTACTGTAGGACTTTTGAGTTTGTTGCAACTCCGCAATGAAGAGACTCCGATGGTTTGGAGCCTATTCTTGATTGCATGCAACTGAACAAAGAGACTCCGATGGTTTCGAGCTAAGTCTGAGTGGCCCACCCTCGTTTCAATGAGGGTTTCTCATTTTTTGAACAACCGACCTGATGGAAATTGAAAGAGCTGGGGCACATACTGGGGATTATGTTGTTCTCCAAGCAATACGCAACGA